AGGGGTGATAGATAAAATAAGGATGATGACATGCTAGGACAAAATTTGTCATGTGTGTTACACTAGTGGAAATTCAGGATTTTTAATATATTTCCTTTTAGAATTAAGAACTTAAAACTTGTATGCTATTAAAATATGGATTATTAGCTAAGATTTTATGCAATTCTAATTGGTATAACATAAAGAAAAATAGTTTAATAAATTTTGAATGTAAGACACTAAAACGTTGTGTCATGCGCAGGAAAAGATACCCGTGCCGACATTAAATACGTTTAAGAGTGATAATGCACCAAATCCTTTAAATGTCATGCTACTGTCCAGTTTGTTAGGACGATTGACTCGCAATCTGAGGGTCGTAGGTTCGAATCCCCATCACACCAAACATGTTCGCCCTTTCAGCCGTGGGGGCTTTATAATATGACGGTCAATGGTGATTTGTTCGTAAAATAGTTGGCGGTGATGAATAACTGCCTCCCCACTAGTCTTTCACTGATAAATTGGGGCCTGCCAGTGCAGATAGCCCTCGTGTATCTTTGCACGAAATTCAAAACCAACAAAAATAAAGGAACTAGTTATTGTATTATATAACGCTTATTAAAACCATTCTATTTAAATTAGTTCGTACATTGTCATCGCAGTGGACAGAGCACAAATATCCCATTGTGTTGTTTCGCGCTGAAACAAAATCCTGATATGATTATAAAAAACTAATTTCTCACGATAAAACTAATATACGATTTATGTAGTGTAACACGATAATAAAAAATACATAAAATAACAAATTTACAATTATGTGTTTATTAATAGATTAAAACTGCAGTTTCTACTCAATAAGTGTATATTATGATGTTCTAGTACAAAGAATGTGATATCAGAAACTCACGCATCATGACGTATTTCTTACTTTCTTGTATTTAACCAGAATTTTCCAATCACCAAGTGTATACTTTTTTTTTTCTATTTCAAACCTACACAACTGGCTGTCTGTACTGTGGCAACCTCAGGAATTGAGCTTTGAACCTTACCACTGAATCACCGAGAGTGATTGGACTTTCTACTTTTAAATGTTTAGTAACTTGGACCCACAGAAGAAGAAAATACAAGTCAT